CGTCAGAGCCACCCATTTACTAAACCTTTATGTTTTTGTATGTTTTATTGAGGTCCTTTTATTATTCTGACTTCTTTTCACTCTTTTTTTGAATGTTATTTAAGTTTTTGTTTTTAGAAGCGATGCAGCGTGTCGGCCTTTTCTCCGATGATAATGAGGATAGTTGTGTTTCTGTCGGACGTGTCACTGCGACGTGTAATGAGTTGTGTTTGTGTGTCAGGATAACAGCCTGGTGGTTGGAGGAGGCGATAACAACATCCATGTCATGGACCTGGAAAACGGTGTGTTCAAGGTGAGTGGGAACAAAGTTGACTCCATGTTGTGTGTGTGTGTGTGTGTGTGTGTGCGTGTGTGTGTGTGAGATGACTGCTGCTGTTAACGTGTGAGTCTGTGGGGAACGACTCACTGCTGGAGCCTCTGCTGGATGTCAGAGGAACTGCAGTTTTCATACCTGGACGTCCGTGTGCGCTGAACTGTTTCAAAAAATTTTCACGGCAGAGTCTGTTGGGGGAGTTCTGTGTTTCCATGGTGACAGGTTTGTTTTTGTCTTCAGACGGTCCTTCAGGGTCACTCGGACTACGTCCATTGCGTGACTGTAAGAGAGAGGGAGGCGGAGATCCTGTCGGGGGGAGAGGACGGAGCAGTGAGGGTGTGGGGTGAGTTCACAGGACACATGGGGCCGTCAGGAGGATGATGATGGTGAAGATGGTGGTGAGGAGTAGGGGTGGGCGGTAGAAACGATATGAATTTGGCCAACGTGGGGTTTTGACTACACCGCTCCAACGATATATAGGTGCATGTTGATGATGTCATCAACATGCACCTATATATCGTTACCGCACGTGCTTCAAATTATACCACGATATGGATTTTAGGCCATATCGCCCAGCCCTAGTGAGGAGGATGATGATGATGATATTAGTGATGATGAGGATCATGGTGATGATGAAGGTGACGTGTTGCTGTTGCAGACAGCAGGACGGGTCAGTGTGTTCACTCCATCGAGGTCTACAAGTACGAGGTGAGTGCCAGAAAGCGTCGCAGACTTCCTGTGATGATGTCATTTCCTCTTTATCTGAGGATAAACAGAGGTGTGTGTTTCAGGTGTGTGCGCGTCCTCAGTACGGTAAATGGATCAGCTGCGTGACCACCGACTCCGACTGGATGGTGAGAAAACGTTTCCTCGCATCGCTGTGACTCCTCCCCCTCCTTCCATCAAATTAATCATTGATTAAAATGATGTCATCTTCGATCTTTGATCACAGCTTTAACCGTTAAGTCTTATTTTTGAGGGGTCGTGTTGCTGCTGTTAGAAACAGGTGATGGGCTCCAGGTGAGTTCAGGTGACGTTAGACTGAGAGATGAAACGTTCTCCTTCGTTCTTGTTCTGAGGTTTGTTTTTACAGATGTTTCCTTAGATTCCAGATGTGCAAGATTCTGAACATGTCTGACTTCCTGTTCCCACAGCTGTGCGGCGGCGGACCGTCTCTGTCTCTGTGGCACCTCCGCTCGCTGTCGCCGACCTCCATCTTTAACCTGAGCGGGTGCCAACGACAGTCGACCTTCCACCAGGACTTGGTGAGGAAGACGCATCAGTCAGTGTTTGTCCATCTGTGCTGGTGCTCGCTCTGGTTCACTTCCTGTGATGCATTTCCTGTAGATCCTAACGGTGGGTGACGGTGCGTTCGTGTCGCACTGCCTGCTGGGCGGCGAGGTCAAAACTCAGATTCCCTGCACGCCACAGAGCCTGAACACGCTGCAGCTCAACAACAACAGCACCGAGCACCGGGTGAGACCCTGAATGCAGCACGCACATCCTCACGCAAACACGGAGGTCACATGACACGACCGGTTCACGAGTGAACGCGTTTCACACATCGCTCGTTCAAAATCCGATTTCAAAAGTCCACGGCAGACCTGAGCCGTGATGAACTGAGCGTGTGCAAATACGGCGGGACAGTACAATGTGGCTCAGTGCTGATTGGTTAAAGCTGGAGAAGAACCGGAACATCCTACACATTAAAAGTCAGCAAGGGGCGTGGCCAGAAGAGAGAGCGACGTCAGGTTTTTTTCCAGTGTGTTAGTGAACGTGTCGTGTGTGTTTCAGGTGCTGACGGTCGGCGGCAGCAGCGACCGTATCGACGTGTTCACCAACCTGTCCTACAGAGCGTTCTCCCTCAGATTCTGACCTCCGAACTTCATGAGACCCCGCACGCACGCGCACACACACACGATAAACTGTCTGTTCACATTTTCCATGTTTTTATTCATTGTTGGGCGTTTTGTATCAGCTGTCTGAGCTTCTTTAAAGAATAAACGTATGAAAATAAAAGCACGCCACGCTTCAGTTCTTCACCAGCTGAGCTCTGATTGGTTAAACCAACCAGCGAGGAGCCCACCCTGTGATGAACAATTGAACTTTGTTCTGATCACAGGTGTGCGCTCATGGAAGTTCCCAACTGAAACTGAAACCCGCTGATTTTAATGACTTTAGATGATTTTGTGACGCTCCTACGAAAGCTTTTAAATAAACTTTATTAACACCGCACACACGCACACTCTGCTGTCAGTTCACCGGTTTGTGTTTCTGATTAGTCACATGCTGGAAACTCCGCCTCTTTCACTGACACAGACGTCCTGAACAGGAAGTAAACGGCTGATTGACAGGTGTGTGTTCACACCTGCAGCAGGTAAACAGAAAACAGCTGATTGGACTGAAGTAAACACATTTTATTTAATACAAAAAGACGTCATACAAAACAGGGACTATAACTTTATTTAAACTAACAGAAACAGACTCGTGACGCATTCAAGGAGCAGCAGAGAAATCGGTTATGGGTTTCGGCTCTGACGATGCCCATCTGCAGGTCTTACCCAGCATGCACGGGGAGGACAGTCCCACATGTCTGAAAGGGGAGCAGTGGGCGGGGTCTCAGGCTGCAGACAGGCAGGCCTGCTGGACGCTGCGAGCCCAGGTGTTGAGCAGCTCGGTCACCGAGTGTTTGTCGGGCAGCTGCAGCAGTTTGGACGTCATGTTCCTGTGAACCGTCTGCAGGAAGCTGTTCGCACCTGAAACACAGTCGATGATGTCATCACCAGACGACCCAACTGATAGAAACGTTTCTACTCTGACTCTATCCTCCCTCTCTGAAGCCACGCCTCTGTGTGGCATCCTGATTGGCTGCCCTCACAGACGGTCTTATTTCCTGCTCTAATTTAGACTTTTATGAATTTATGCTTTTAAGTGTTTTCACTTGTTTATCTGCATTTTGTTTGTTAATATTTTTGAGCCTGTGGACGTCTCCGTGGATACGCGGCTCTATTGGCTGATGAAAGACGGCGGCGGTGGGCGTGTCTTACCGTATTGCTCTCCGTCGTCGGCCCAGTGCGGACTCTGGTCGGGATAATCGGCGGGAACGCTGAGCTGCAGCGGAGGAACGCTGGGAAGGTTTTTATCGTCTGAAACAGAAAACACCAATGAAGTTTCACTGTGTGATCTGAAGTGGGCGGAGCAGTGGGCGGAGCAGTGGGCGGAGCAGTGGGCGGCGGCGTTCTCACCCAGCTTGCAGATGAGGTGCACGGTGCCGTTGTTGCTGCAGTACGAGGGGTCGAGGTTGACGAGGAACTTGACGTCGAGGCGCGCCACCTCGCCCTGCAGGATGTTGGGGATCGTCTGCCGCTCGTCGTCCTCGTGCTTCCTCTTGCGCCCGGAGATGTTCGGGCCCCTGAGGAGGACGTGACGCTGTGAATATGACCTCTGACCTGTAAAGTGTAGCGCGACGCGTGTGCGGTACCTACATGATGGGTGGTCCGTGGATGGCACTCATGGCGGGGGCGAAGGATCGGTAGAGGGAGTGGTTGAAGACCGGCGAACGGATGTTGGCCATGACGGCGTCCAGCAGCGGCTGACACAGGTACTGTTTGTTGGTGGCCACGGGCGGGGGAGGGGGCGTCGGCTGAAAGGACAGGAAACACAAACACACACACAGACCGCCACCCTCTGAAGATTAGAGAGAGCAGCACGAGGAGACGCTCGCCTTACCACCGCCATGTCGTTCTTCAGCTTCTCCAAAGCGATCTCACATTTCTGCAGCGTCTTCAGGGGACACCTAAAGGTCAAAGGTCAGGAAAAGGAGGTCAGGAAGTGCTTCAGCTGTGAGCTCGGAGGCGTGCATCATGCCGATGTGGCTGACATCATCTACAGTGTTTGTTTTCCAGCTGTGATCACATGACCACAGCTGGAAAACAGCGGGCTCCTAGTGTCTGCTGTGAAGACGTGGAGCAGGCTCCGGGTGGAGGTGGCTAACCACGTCAGCTGAGTTTGGATTGTTTCACCTGAGAGGCTTAAACGACTCTCACCTGGTGTTGGGGTCGGTCAGGATGTTCAGCAAGCTCTTCATCTTGCTCAGGTCCTTCTTCCTGTCTGAAAACACAGAAGAAAGCAGCTGAACTTTAACCACGCCACGATGCGTTCAGGAGCAGGGACGGGCATCGGGTAAACCTAAACGCTACGCATCATTCAGGAGCAGTTTCATTCTTTTGAGCGATTCTGGACTCGTGTTTGAACATCTCAACATGAATGACTTGATCCTGTGTTTCTTCTCCTCACTTCGTGTCACATGACTGCCCTGAGCTCATCGCTTCCCCTCCACTTCTTACCTCGACATCGTCTTCCTGTTTGTTTCCTATCAGAACATTTTTCCTTTCCGACTCTTTCAGTCGTGCTTTTGTTTCTTTAG